AAGGTGTCTTCGACATTCTTATTGCTAACTTTGTCAGCGACGACCTTCCCCTTAAACGAGGCGACAACTTAGGAGTTGCTTTTGAGGCTGAGTCACAAATGGTGGTTGCCACTCTTGTAAGTTCGCATTAGTTTGTCGCTTCAGAAGAACAGTCAGGTAAAACCGGACTCTTGCCCTGGACTCAGTTTAGACCCAACCTAATCGCGGCAGAGAAAGAATTTATTTAGTACCTACTCATGAAGTTACGAAGCGGTATCGCCGTTACAAAAGAAGAGCTGAGTTACACACCCCTCGTGCGCCATGCCATCAACACTGGTGATCACGCGCCAATACGTCAACACACACGAGAAGTCTCTATACCCGAGAAACGGGAAATTAACGCTCAAGTTCACAATATGCTTCAAAGGGGCACAGTAACACCTTCATACAGTTCATGGGGGTCACCTGTGGTGTTTGTAAAGAAAACAAAATGGTTCGAAAAGGTTCTGCGTCTACTATAGAAGGTTGAAAAAGCACCACTAAGCCCGATATGTACTCCCTACATTGACATGGTGATGCTCTTGCCCGTCTTCATGGTTCCCACTACTCCTCGACTTTGGACCTCTTCTCGGGATACTGGCAAGTTGAACTTGGTCCAGATGACGCTGTAAAGTCAGCCTTTGTAACGCCTGACAGCTTGTTTCAGTTCATCCAGACGTCTTCCGTTTGGATTATTCAATGCACCGGAGACCTTCCGGCATCTTATGGATAATGCCCTCGGCCATTCAAAAGGAGCCATGGCCTTGGTCTACCTCAATGACGTAATCGTGTATGCCGGGAGCTTTGCCGAGCATGAACATCGATTAGTCTTGTTTTAGACGCCCTCTCGAAAGCTGGACTTCATGTAAAACCATATAAATGTTTCTTCGAATACGACAAAGTAATCTACCTCGGCCACGTCGTCAACAAATATGGTATTCGTAGAGACACTGCAAAGCAGTCAGCTTTTGCTTACGTACCCGTACCCAGAACGCTAAGGCAACTAAAGAGTTTTCTAGGTTTCGCATCCTACACTCGACGCTTTATGAAGCACTTTTCAGTGCGGGCTTCTCCCCTGAACCGTCTCCTAAGAAAAGACGCCAAATTTGTATGGGCAGCGGAAGAAGCGGCAGCCTTCGCGGACCTCAAGAGTGCACTTCAAGAACCGCCTACGTTGGCCCATTTTGTAGACGACGCACGCACCGTCATCCTCACCAACACCAGTGCGAAGGCTTAGGTGCTGTTCTTCTTCAACATGACAAAGATGGTGGCGAACGCCGCATTGCCTAAACAAGCAGAAGGCTTAGTAAGCCAGAAAGACGGTACCACTCCTCCGAACTGGACTATCTCGCAGTAGTGTGGGCTGTGAAAAAGTTTCGCCGTTACCTTTATGGCAAGAAGTTTACCGTGGTCACCGAAACCTTTGCATTGCAGTGGCACCAAACGAAGAGCAATCTTACGCCCCAGCTTGCTCGCTGGGCCATAAAAATTCAAGAGTACAATTTTTCAATCGCTCACCGAAGCAGAAGACACTATCACGACGCCCACTTCCTCTTCCACGATCCCGTGGAGGGTGGTTCATCAGTTTCTGTTTGAGCTCTGCTTGTGTTGCAGGCAGCGCTGTCAAACGACAAAAAGACGTCGACTATCATCAGTAATCTCGCAAACAAAGGTAGTGAGTCTTCTTGTCTAAACGGACGACGCCTGCAAAGTTTGCGAACGCACAAACATCTAAGTTACAGCTTCTCTGCCATCGATGACGGCAGTGACATTCGTGGCTGCCTGTTGTTTCTACGAGTCTGCGCCGCAACGTTATGGTCATGTGTCACTACGCTCCAACTCCTGGTCACCTTGGACAACATAGGACATCAGAAAAAATCGCTTAAAGGGGTGGTGGGCGGGTTTGAGAGGTGACTTTCGGCGGTACGTTGCTTCATGTACCACTTGCCAAATGCGCAAAAGACCGCCGAATCAAAAAAAAAAGTCAGAACCTTAACAGATACTTCAACCACGAAGTCCTTTTCGAATAATCGGTATATACCACCTGGGACCATTTCCATGATGAGATGGCAACAGGCACATTATTGTGAGTCTAGACTATTTAACGAAGTGGGTTGAAGTACACGCGGTTCCCGACACGTCAGCGACGCACCTCGTCAGTTTTGAGAACAACCATCCGGTGTTGCGGCATGGGGCTCCACGAATGATCATTTCTGACCAAGGAACATCGTTCATGGCTCGTGATTTCAAGAGTGTCCTTATGAACTACGGAATGTAATACGCAGCAGCTTCAACCTACCACCCCGAAACAAACGGATTGGTAGAGTGCACTAAGCGTGCTTTCAGATATACAGAGTGTTTCAAGAAACTCAGGCCAAATCGCTCCTGCGAAAACTAATCATCGCAACGAAAAAAGGCTTGTGTCGTTTTGGTCCCGAGCCAAGGGCCCATTTAGAAAAATCATTGAAGTCCTGGATAATTAATTTGTTAATTATTTTTGAGTAATTATTTTTTTAAATAATGTGTGTAAGGGCATGGTTTCAATTAGAAAATTGCTCAGCATCATCCAAAAACAGTAAATCAACAAATTGCAGAACAATAGAAGGTACGCGCATCATTTTACGGCTTTCTGAAAAACCGCACAAATTTGCCGGTTTTTTAAGTTTCGGTTTACTATCCGAGCGCATCTCGCCCCCGGCGGCACCGCGCCCCGTGGAGAGATAGTGCAACAGACCTCTGCTGCGCTGTCATCGCACGACGCAGCAGAGGCTGGTTGCAATATCTCTCAATGGGCGCGGTGCCGCCCGGGCTGAGATGCGCTCCAATAGCAAACTGAAACTTAAAAACCCGTCGATTTTGTGCGGTTTTTTAGAAAGTCGTAAAATGCTTCGCGTGCCTTCTAGCATTCTCCAATTTGTTGATTTAGTGTTTTTCGGTGATGCTGAGCAATTTTCGAATTTAAACCATGCCCTTAAACACAATATTAAAAAAGTTAATTACGCAAAAATATTTAACAACTTAATTATCCCGGACTTTAATCATTTTCAGGATCATCAGGATCAGGATCAAAACGCCACAATCCTTTTTTCGTTGCGATATGTAGTTTTCGCAAGAGCGATTTGGCCTGAGTTCTGCAATCGGTTACCCCTAATTTTTTTTTTCCGTTTTAGTTGCTGATCAGTTTTAATATGCCGACGACAATTTCAGTTCGACTCATTCCCGGTTCATGTAAAAATAACTGTTCTGTTACGGTTTTCGGTTCATTTCGGTTCTGGTTCGACACAGTTTTAAATACATTATATTTAACCTGTAATCAATAAAAAAAAATCAAACTACGTGATCTCTCCTCGTGTGAAAGTCAATAAAATACATTAAATAAGTCTTAAAAAAGTGAAAATTCAAGGCGTACGCGTGTTTGAACGGATATGAAAACACCCATGTATATATCCAAGAGTTAATCGCGTACCTGATTATTTGGACTTGGCCTGGAGGGTACACCACACCAGCCTAGTGTCCTACTGTGACATTGCAGAGTTCACAACACGTGTCTTTGGTCTACACTAGAATACTCTAGCCTGGTTTGGTGTGTACACCAAAACACAGTATACTGGTTAGGTGCACACACCAGGACACGCTGAGATAGCCTGCTTTGCACACCAGGAAACACTATGCTGGTTTGGCGAGCGCAAAATGTAACTCAGATTTGTTGAATGCGTCCACCAATACACACTAGACTGTTCCGGTGTTCCAACCGAGACACGCTAGGCTTGTCTGTTGTAGCCTCAGGACATACTAGGCTTCTTCGGTGTGCTCACAAGAAAAAAACAGACTACACCAAACCAATCGGGCAGATTCTTCTGAGAGGGTAGAGACAGCCTGGTAGCACAATAAGCTAAAGGCAGGAAGGCGTTTCAGAATCGTATTGCATGCTAGACTGCATGTTTTCTATGCCGGTCAACTAAATTTCACGATAAGTGATTTTAGCAGGCCATAACGTCATTTGTAAACACACGATTGCTTTCCTATATTTAACATGACAAAATGATTCGTAGCAACTGGTCCTCGCGAAAAATCTCATCACGAGCTGGCACACCTTAATTGCATTCGACGGAATATCTAAATGAGTTGATTTGATTGAACGCGAGGTTTACATCATTACTTTGTTTATTACATGTTCCGTTAACCAGTTTTACCAGTTAGATTTATTGGTCTTGGTAAATACATGTACATTTCGTGTCGAATTGGTACTCTTTTCAAATCGAAGATTTTTAGTTTTATGTACTCTAACCTTTATGTTCATAGTTCGGGTCATAGATATCTCCAGTGTGATAACCCGATCTCATCAAAAAGTTTTATAACATTATAAAACTTAATAGTTACAGGTTGTCTTCATTCTAAGAACACACTGCTGGATACATTATTACTAAACAAAGGTGTACAAAATGTTTTGATAAAGCATTATTATGGACCGTCATCTTCGAAGTCCTTTGTGTCCTGGAATGCAAAAATTAACGAGTGATTGTATTAATTAATTAAGGTGGCGTACAGTTGTTTTGAAGATCAATAAGGAAACGATTTTTTATTAATTGACGTCCCGTCCCGTAAACTGCAACAACGTGACCTGCTCACGTGACATGACGTCAAGCTGTTTAGTCATAATGTGAAGTCAGACGTGACCTAAAATGGTGTAAAGCTATACTTAAATTCAATTTTTCAGCTAAACTTATCGGAAAACAATGGTTAGACTGGCGGCTGGACGGACGAATTAAGCTATTTCTTAGAGTGCTGTGCCTCGTTAAAAACATTCCATCATTTCATTTGTTAAACATATCTCGTGTTGAGCACATCAATTATTTAATGGTAACTGTTATAAGATCGGAATTTTCAGTTTATTTAGCAGTTTCAACCCTTATAAGAGAGTCAAAATGTTCTTTTTTTCAGATGTGCCTTGTCGGGCATTGACACTTTCTCCGAATAAAGAAATGCTACTCATAACTTTCGTCACGCTTCTCCTCGTAAGCGCACTTCAAAACGGTAAGGTAAATTCGAATGAAGGGCACCTGTTGTTGCCTTGAGATGTTTTACGGGAGCGCAGTCTCAACTTCAAGTAATGTCCATACTATTTACACTCTTAAAGGTGTAAATAGTATGCGCATTACTACACGCTTCCACACCCCTTTTTGAATATTAATTAATTTATAATATTGAAGTTGGACTGCTTTGAGAATGCACCATTCATTTCTGAAGCGTGTAAAAGATTGTAGTAAATAGTGTTTTATCACGTAAGGTGTGCTACAACATAGCCACTTCAGACACCTTTAGCGGTTTTTTTAGTCACTGGATATAATTATTTATCTCTTAAACTTTCTATATTGTGTTTTCTGGAAAATATTGACAAGGATGACGCAAAATATTTCGTAAACTTTATCTTCCAAACCTCTAGTAATACGGGGTTGGAGCAGTCAGAGGTGTCGACATTGTAGTTTTCTCCGTGCCTCAGTACGTCTCTATTTGCGATTCCCGTGCTTATAACAACTGCATGAGGTGCGTACTGCTTCTGCGCTTGATACTTACGAAACCAATATGTAGAATATTACTTGGATCGTCGGAAGCTTATTTTTAGAGTGTTAACAAGAATCCTGAGGATGTTTTGGGGAAAACCTGGATCACACACTTAAGTAAGCAGTAAACCCCTGTGCACCTCAAAAGTTTATGCATCTAAATATAATACCAACGTTTAAAAAAGCACCTCTTTCCAATACCCCAATGTATGTGTGCATATATATATATAGAGTGGAAAAGAAAATAATCCACGAAAAGGCATAATAAAATAATATAATGAGTCCAACGTTTCGAGCGGAGACCGCTCTTCGTCAGGGTGATTACTTCTTTGTTTCTCTAGGCTTCATCCCGTCGTCTTCTATAGTCTTGCTGCAATTGCAGAAAAAGTTTCCTTAGCGCGTTTCCACTTCGCCGGCCGCCGGCCGAGTGCAGGGCTAGGGCCGCGGGTGAGACTGCAGACGACCTACGGAATCAGAGACTGAAGTGAGTGCTACTTCAAAGAGAGCCCAAACACCGCTTGCCGAGTGCGCGGCTGGGGCCGCGTTCGTTCTTTCAGAGAGAACCCATACTCCGCCAACCGAGTACGGGGCTGGAGCCACGCTTGCTCTTCTGGAGAACCCTCCGATAGCGCCTGCCGGGCGCGTGCCTGAAACAACGAGCATTCTTCGAGAAAGACCTCGAGCGCAGCCGGCCGAGTACGTGGCTGTAGCTGCGAGTACTTCTACTGAGAGTTCCACCTTCTATTCCCCGCCTGCGCCTTCCAGTTCGGACCAACGATTCCAAGATTCCTTTCCGCCGTTGGGTCCCACACTGTCCCAGAACGCTTCGGGGAACATTCTCGAAGCTGAAGCAGCACCTATGTCCACCTTCCGCTGCAATCTGCGCAGTAACTACATCGATGCTGTCCAAACAAAGACACCTCGTTCATGACTTACCAATTCAAAAGGTACAATCTCTCCCGAGTACCACCATTCGAAATCATTTCTGGACATAGGGAAAATAATAGATAAAGTATTAAGCACGACCTCCACACTGAAACCTTGCAAAACTACATGAACTCCGGCATCGCCCCAAAAGGACTAACTATAAAACTGAAACCATCAATGAGCACTGTGAACGAAAGCGAGATTAACGAGTGGAACCACATATTAAATACGCCTTTCTCGAGCTAGTTAATGTTGTTATCAAGCACAGTGAGCGCCGCGCAGTAGAACTAACCGAAACACAAGTCCGCCTTAAGTATAGCAATTCCCTTTGTCTCAGTGAAAACAGAGAACTCGCGCAATACGAGACAAAGCGACTTGGGGAGCTGAACGCTATAAAGACGAAAAATCTGGAAAGTTACAAGGTGGACACATCTCGTGCCTCCAAAGCCTCAAAAACAATAGCTCACAATAACCATCTGAATCATATTCAAGCGGATGGTACAAACAATCTACACCTGTCATGTGCAGCAAGCTCAAACCAGAAACAACAATATACAATTACCGAATCGATTGAGCGAGAACCTAACTCCAGCACACGTGAAAAACAACAGAACGTAAATAATTTGTAAACGCCAACTTATCGGCCATGGAACTTTCCTTGTGTTCGAGGGGCCTCAGTTTTTGCCCCAAGTATGAAGAATTTTATGAATTTTAAATTTTTAAGGACTGAGATAATTTTGCAGGAAATCTGAGACTTAGAGAGTATTTCTGTGACATACCCCAAGAAAACCGAGAGCGAATCCCAAATGCCTCCGACCAATCCTGGACTCCTAACGCACAGCGCAATACGTACGTTGACTTATACATTGAATTAGTCCAACGATATGTAATACCGAGCTGCAATCGGCAGAAGAAAATACGCAACAATCTTACTTCTCACGAACGCGCCGTTATCCGAGCGCTTAACGCGAGGGACAATATTACCATCAAACCAGCTGATGAAGGTGGAATGATAGTCATTCAGAATGAACAAGATTACATAGATGAGGGATACAGACAACTTAACGACAAATAATTTTATACCGAGTTACAGGAAGATCCCACTGAATGCTATGCAATATTAATGAAAAAATAACTCTAACACACCTTCTAAAAAAAATCGACAGGCATGTACAAAGCAATGAAGCCCACCTATCCAAAACCTGGACGTTTCTACACGCTGCCCAAAATTAAAAAAAAAAACAGGAAATCCAGGTCGACCCATTGTATCAGGAATGTACGCAGTTACAGAAAGACTTTTCATTTTTTTTTTTACTTTCTGATAATGAATTTCCCGCCCAAAGTTCCTTCTTTCACAAAGGACACTAATCACTTCCTCCGCGAGATATCAAACCTAATTATTCCGACGAATGCTTTCTTGATCACCATGAATGTCGCATCGCTATACGCAAATAATACCTCCCCAGGACGGTATCGATGCTGTAGTCAGTGCCTATAAGAAAAGTCCACAAAAAAATATATATATATCAAACAAATTGCGTGAAGGGTTGCGTTCTGGTAACACTACTAAGACTAGTTCCAGAACATAACAACTTCGAGTTTGAAGGGAAGCACTTTCTGCAGATACAGGGCACAGCAATGGGCAGAAGGATGGCCCCAAACTATGCCAATCTGTTCATGGCCGATCTAGAGTACCGCTTTTCTCTACCGTGAATTAAAGTCACTGTGTATTAAACGATACATTAATGATATATTTATGATTTAGCCACACAGAGAGGAAGACATTTTAAAACTTATTAGTGATTTTAATGCCATTAATCCTCGCAATGCTACTCTAAACCTAACATAGAATTTTTGGACGAAACAATGAAAATTTACGAAAATAGCCTCTCAACGAAACTCTACAGAAAACCCACAGACCGCCAACAGTATCTTCACTTTCAGAGTTCACACCCTAAGCATTGTAAAACCAGTATTCTCTTCCACCAAGCTCATAGGTTCAGAAGAATTTGTTCCAACTAAACTGATTTTAATCGTAACGCAGAAAATCGAAAAACAGTGATCACCGTACAAAAATATCCCCTGGCAATTGTTGTCAAGGCCATCGAAAAAACCCGAGCACTTGTATGATCACAACTTATTAATCAGACTTGATCTAGCGTACCTAAGAGTCAACAAACCAACCTTGTAGTTACTTATTCGGCCAGCCTCCCAAATTTCAATAAACTTCTGAGGAAACACTTTAGGATCTTATAGCAGAACAACAAACTTAACATTTTATTTCCAGAGCCACCACGAGTGGTGTAACGACAAGGCAGGAACCTCAAGGACATCCTGGTACAATCCAAAAGCTTACCTTCGCAAACTTTTGGTTGCCAGCCTTGCGGAAAGTCGCGATGCCGGATTTGCGACCACATGATATACGCACCAACCAAATTAAGAGCGCTAAATAAAATTTCTGTTTCAAAATGCGTGCAACTCTGAACTGCAATACGGTAAACGTTATTTATGTGCTACGACGCAACCTGTGGGATATGGACTGGATAGGCCGAACCCAACCCCTTTAGATTACGATTTAACAACCAAAAATCACACGTCAACTCCCTCCCACAACTCCCATTTTCCAAACGCATGAACCTACCAAACCACAATTTTGCTGCAATAACAGTCGTTCTTCAATATGAATTCAGGTTCGATCGCGAAAGATAACTGAGAGAGGCGTATTTTATTCAGAAATTCAAATCACTTACCCACGGGATTAAAGAAACTCCACGCATACTTTTATGGCTAAAACATGCAGCAGAAACCTGCTAACCATTTACATTATTTTTTTTATCTGTTATATTTATGACTTTTTTTTCTTATTGTTTTGGTGATTGAAGTGAAAACGCGCCAAGGACACTTTGTCTGCCTTGGCAGCAAGACAATGGAAGACGACGGGATCAAGCCTAGAGAAACAAAGAAGTAACCACCCTGAAAAAGAGCGGTCCCCGCTCGATACGAATGACTCATTATATCATTTTATTATGCCCTTTTGTGGATCATTTTCTTTTCCACTATCTGCTTCTACTCGGCCCGTCCCAACCCCTTTTTACGCATATATAGAGATATATGTAGGCCAAGCCGGAACCCCTTTCTGAGGAGAAATAAGAGGGGGTAAAGAACAATAGGAGATGGAAATAACATTGTCAAATCAAATAGAAGTTCAGATATAGGGGAGGGCGAGCCGAAATTCGCGAATGCTGAACAACAAAACCAAACACAAAAAGCTAAAAAAAAGAAAAAAAAGGAGGGAGAAGCAACGGTTTGGGCGGGGGGGGATAATCCACGCTCGCACAGCAAAAAATGCGCCAAAAAATTAAGAATGCAAAAAAATTGGGTAAAATATTGACGCTTTCACAACAAAAAGGCAAAAAAAAAAGAAGTTTTGAAGCATAAAAAGAAAAACACAAAAAAAAAGGTGTGTCCGAAAGTTTCTGGTTAGGAAGGGTTGACTCGTCTTCACGGTAGATATAGGTCAGATGTGACCTCCAACGCGAACGAATCCCGAGACATTCCTTTGTGCTAGTAGATTGAAGTTTGAGGTGGATTAAAACTTTGGGGTATTTTTCTTCGAATAAAGAGTGGCAGGATCTAACAGTCTATGCCTGTTTGAGATTAACTGTTTAAGCCGCAGTTATTCGTTTTGGAGGTCCTGTTCGTACCTAAACGTATTAGGATGCGGTTTAAATATCGATTGTTAAGATTGAAGATCTCGTAGTGTCTTCAGCGTGCGCATCTCGAGATGATTCAAGGACGGAGAAAACCACCTCTCGCAGGAGCCAGCTGCAAACTAACAGCCTTCCCTAACTTTCATTAATGTCCTGGTTTAAGGTATTAAACTCCTAAATAAAATACGATACTTTTTGCTCTCTTTCAATTTTTGTGCTGAAGTCTGATTCCAAAATTACAACAGAAATGTGCCCGATTGAGTGATTCGGAAGAGACAGGTGGGCTTTGAGAACGGAAGGGTAGGGAGTGTTTGTGCGTGACATTTGTGGCTGTTAAAGCGTAGTCTGAAAGCCAGATTAGTCTGTCCGATGTACTGTTTGCTACAGACATCGCAGTGCAGGAGATAAATCACGTTTGGCGTGCCGCAATCGTATCTACCCCTTATCTTCCACGTGATCTCTGAATTTGTGCTCGTGTCGTTCTTTTTTTTGGACATCTGCTAGCATACTTTACACCTGGGCTTTCGGCACGGTTGGCAACCTAGGCTTGCGGGAGTGGTAGTCTTTGATTTGACCAAGACGTCCCGGAGATTCCTTCCGCGTCGATAGACGACCCGAGGAGCGGCAGGGAAGATTTCTTTGAGGCGGTCGCTCTACGACAGAAGATTGTAATTTTTTGTTGTCGTAAAAGCGTAAATGTTGTACCCAATTCGTCTTTGTTTTGTTTTTTTCGTTCTTTGAGCAATGTTTTGTTATGCGAGTGTGGATAATCTCCCCCAACCGTTTTTTCGCCACCCCCCCCCCCCTTTTTTAGCTTTTTTGTTCTCTTTTGTTGATCAGCAGTTGCAAGATTCGGATCGCCTCCCCTCAATGGAGGTGAACTACTATCTGATTTGACGATGTTGTTTCTATCTCCTATTGCGTTTTGCCCCCTCTAATTTCTTCTTTGGGTTATATAAACTTTCACGGGCTGTACACTCGTTACCTGATGAAGTGCAGTCCCCGCTCGAAACGTCGTAATAAACTTCGTATTAGTAACTTGGAGAGTACGCATCTTTGACTTATCAACATTTCCCGGTTCATTGTTTTATATTTACCCTACCTGACACACACACACACACGTATATATATATATATATATATATATATATGTATATATATATACGAAATTGTGCAGATGAATGAACCGTACTTAATCCAATGAATTAAAGAATCCAAGTTTCCAAAAACCCGCCGAAAGCCAAAAAACGGCGGAGCCGTTTTTTGGCTTTCGGCGGGTTCCTGGAAACTTGGATTCTTTAATTCATTGGATTAAGTACGGTTCATTCATGTGCACAATTTCGTTTATATCCTCCTCGGAGACCACGTACGATGGTGTGAAGTGCCCGTGTTGTATATATATATATATATATTTTGTTCACGGAGATCAATTCAGCAATTCAGAAAATTACATTTAGTTATGGGCCAACGTCATAATACCAAAGTAAATTTCATAAAAACTCATAACTAGAAATTAACCCCGCAACGTAAATATTGATTGATGTGTTGTTATATACGAAGGTTGCATTTATGTAATACCTACGCACTTGTACAACGTTTTTCCAGTTTATCGTTTTTAGGAGCACTATGGAAACCAACGTCATATTAGAATCGTGTCTTCAAATCGTACCTAATTAAAATATATCTGGATATGTAAATAGCGCGCTTATTTTTTTAAGCAATTTTTTTTTTAATTTTTGACATAGGTACCAGGAAAATTACGCATCGCCTAACGCCTATCTTGCGCCCAAATGTAGACCGAGGCGTCCGAACCATATGGCAAATATTCAGCGCGATCAGTTTCCTCAGTCAGAAAATATAAGTTATTTTCTGAAATACTAATTAGGAAATTGGCGGCCGACGTAGTTTTTGAGTTTAAGGATCTTAATAGCACCAGTTAGGAAAAAATATAAAAAACGTGCTTTATTTGCCCATGCAATTTTCAAAAATAACATAACTTTTGAATGAGATAACAATATTTCTGAAACTTTGGCATCATATACTTAGCATTGGCGCTTGCTTTGGGCGGAGAATGTGATTTCTGTAGTTTGTAGTTTATGACAGGGGTAACTGTTTCTTCCCCTTCCCGAAAAAAAATTAAATGTCCGAATACGAACACAAAAACCCACTTTAAAGAAGAAGCACTGCTTCCTGTCCCCGCCGTTCCTCCCTCATACACACGAATTGTGACAAAGCTCCCCCCTTATTCCTTTCCCGCTTGTAGACCGGCGCTTGTTCCGAAAAAAACCTACGCAATCACGTGGAGAGTGCTCTGCACCTCCCCATCGTTCCAGCTGCATACACGTACTCTCCGGTGATGCACGACAGACTGCACCCCCCCCCCCCCCCCCCCGCCGATCGGGCAGCCGCCGTTGAAAAATGCCCACGTGGCCAGGGTGCGCTGACACGCCTGGCCACCCAGGTTCTGTTCTCGGAACCTATTCCAGACATCGTACGGCACACTGGCTGAAGGCGAATCTCGCTGAACATGCCTTTCCACAACGCATGACCTATCGCTATCAATAGCAACACGCAATGGGGGGTTGATCGCAATTTCTCTTTTGTTTTTTTCCAGTGAAAAAACACTAAGTTTTTCAGGGGACGCATGGTACACTTCTATCCAGGCACTTAAACATTTGGTGTAAAGTTTAGTGTCTCTCTCAATTGACACTGAAATTCAGACAATCTTTTAGTGTCTGGAGAGAACAGGCAGCTAAAACAATAGCCCCTCAACAAAAAAACGCGCCAAAATGCGTGTTCTGTGGGGATCCTCCAGCTTACGCTTTTATCTCAGGTACTTAAAATCGAAAGAATAAAACGCGGAGGACATGCACGGGACAACCACGTTCTTTCATTGAAACAGCGTGGTTGTCCTTTGCTTGTCTTTCGTTTCTTATTCTTTCGATTTTTAATATTCAAGTTCAACTTGCTTAATTTTACCAGTATTTTGGGTAGGCGTGCAGAAGAAGCAATTTTGGGAATGGCATTTCGCGTAAAATATGTCTGACGACTACATCTCACTCTCGAAATGTTCAAAAGAAAGTTATTTTTGTGACGAAGGTGTCCTATCTAATGCTTCAAAAATACTATTAGGGAATTTCGCCTGCTTAGGACCCATCCTAAAGGTATCTTTTTTCTTCCCCAATATAAAAAAATGTAAGAATCGCTCCTTATCTTAAATATGTCTCGCGGCGTAAATATTCTGGTAAAATAGATTTATTTCTTCTAGCTTTAGCCTTGTGAAACATTATCTTTCCCACCAGTTAACAAGAGACGTCGGGGGAATTAATTGCCCCTTTATTGGTTCAAATCAATTTAGTGTCATAAGTTTCAAGAAAAAACCTCAAGGGTGTGAAAACCGAGTCGTGTCCTTTTTTACATGGCCTTTCATAAACCTATATTATTTAAATTTGAAAACCTTTAGTCAAGTATTCATAAAATGCAGGGAATGTCAATATGCTAGAGAAAAGTAGAAAAAGTTGAGGGGCGAAGAAATAATGCATGCAATTTCAGTGATTTATAAAACCAACGGACTACAAACGTGCGCGCCGAAACAAAGATATCAAGGTATGTTTTGAAACTCTACTTTCAGCACTTCAATCCTCAAATACAAACATTGTTACGTTGATGATTCTAAGGACAGCAGATCCCAAAAGTTGCAATCAACTGTCCGTCCTCTTCATTGAACCCTGCCTTTGGAAACTTGAAAAGCTCATCTTGATTTTGACCCATTTGCTACATGGTGCTTCGTGTAGTGCTAAAAAATTGTGTTGATTGCACCGCACGTTGTGACATTTATTGCAATATTTCATCTCAGGGGAGTTGTCCTCCAGTGCCACGACGGAACCGAACCAGTGCATGAAACTTATCCAAGAAGGAGGACAGATTGCATGCAATATCACAGGAGAAGGAGTAAGTTCCTTACATCATGGAAATAACAAAATCAAAGCAAATTGATACTTCTGCATTTTGCAGAATACGATTGTTTTCTTTCATTTTTGCGTTAAGCACTAGAACAACATTAAAGTAAGTATTGGTTTTTCTAAAAAAGATATTTCGTGTTCTGCGTCCCAGGCTGTAAAACAACGAAACATGACAATGTGACAGTACAGATACTGTTTAACACTTTGCTTACCACAAAACTCAGCTAATTTATGGAGGGTCCCAGTACTATTTATTTGTCTGAAAAATATAGTCTAATGAGTTTGCAGTATATTGAACTGTAGAAGAATTCATGTTCATTTTAATTATAAAAGCATATAAAATATAGTTGGAATAAAATATGTACGATTTAATTTTTGAGAACCAATATTTCTTTAAGTATCGTAACAAGAATGAAAGGAGATATGGAAATAACTCGGCTAAATTGAATGCTACAAAAAATGTCAAATTCACAAAATGTGACGAATATTAATAACAAGAAAGTCTGGAAATTGCAGTGCTCTAGGTAAAAACAAATGTCCAAGTTTGACCACATAGTCTCAACCATCGCGGCGTGCATGCCACTTGGAAAAACCGTTTTTGTATGTGGTAAAACACGGGTATATGTGCAGAGACTGCAGGAGACATTTCTCTTGTGCTCAAGTTCGCACTCTTCGTATGACATCTTGCAGTTGCGCCGCTTCTTCTTTTCAGGTGCGTGTAATGCATTTCTTGATTATGTACAGCGCTCATCGTGTGTAGTGCGGAACGGTGTTTTCCAGTAAACAAATAATACATTGTGATCTCGTGGGTAATCGGCATCGGGTGTGGCTTGTTTCTGCTTCCATGCGAAATCTTGCCTCTGATGGTGATCACTGAAGATCTTTTCATGTGGACGCCACGTTTGCAACGAGGAGCACTATCTCCTCAAGCGCTATCTCCTTAGATGCGTGTTTCTTCATGATAAATATGTATTTCCTTTGAGAAATATAAATATGAAAATACCCAAACAAGTGTGTCTAATCGAAACATCAAATTCATTGACGACAAGCACAAATCGCCCGAACTTACACGCGAAACCAGCAGAGAACATGCACACCAATACCAAAACAAGCCTTAACTCAGGATTGGGCAGATATTCACTAAATTGTATTCGGAAATACAAACACAGGGTTACGTGATGAAGACAGCTAAAATACTGATACTGAAATGCATCCGTACCAAAGTATCGCGAAAAGTAGAAGGAATCATTTAAAATATAGAAAAGTATCTGAAAATATAAATAATTTAAAAAGTTTCCCAGGGCACTAGTACTCACAAATTTTTTTTTTACAAAAATGTTTTTTTCTGATGTGAACTCTCTTATACGGACAAAAATTACTAATTTTAAAGCAGAAAAAAAACGGTTTGCTACTTATTGTGCAATTTCATATGGACACAATGCAAAACAGAGGTAAACATACGACCTTTGCTGCTACTCTCGACTGTTTTTTATTTTTTTTTTCTTATAAAGAACTTGATAAAAAGCTCGTCAGTCAGCCGCTGTCGATTTTCCGAAAAAGACCCGTTTGCGAACTAGATTAAGCGTTTTGCAAGTGTCAACAAACATGGGTTTATATTGGACCGAACGAACAACGCTTTCACAGTCGGAAAGTTCTAAACCATGCAAATATTTTTAGAGCGCAGCCCTTAGACGCCGGTTTCCGGCTTGATCGGCGTCGGCGTAACCACGCGGTGCATTACGGGAAATGTCCCATAATGCACCGCGCGGGGAGGTGGAGGTAGGAGGAGTAGGGGGACGAGGACAGGGGAGGGGAGGAAAAGGAGGGGAGGGGAGGAGGAGGAGGGGAGAGGAAGAAGAGGAGGATGGGGGAGGGGAGAGGAGGAGGAGGGGAGGGAGAGGAATGAGGAGAAGGAGGGGAGGAGAGGAGGAGGAGGGGAAAGGGAGGAAGAGGATGGGGAGGGGGAGGGGAGGAGGAGGAGGGGGGAGGAAGAGAAAAAAGGAGGACTAGGGAGGGATAGAAGAAAGGAGGAGGAGAGGGGGGGGGGAGCTTGAAGGATGAGGGGAGGAGGAGGAAAAGGAGGGAGCAGGGAGGAGGAGTAGCAGGGAGGATAGGGAGGTGGGGAGGAAGGGTAACCCTCCTCTCAGTACCCTTCCCTCCTCCTCCGAAAGAGGGTAAAAGCTATACTTCGTTTACAGGGTTTGTAATTAAAATGTGAAAAATGAGTCCTGCAGTAAAGACTAGAGCTCATACTAACAGTGGGGCAAATATTGAAGTTTTAACTTTGATGTTCGTCAGCCCAAAATTATTTCCGTGTAAAATAGCCAGTTTCCTTTTAGCATGAAGCTGTGAGAATTATGCGAGTCTTTAATAGAGAGAGAGAGAGAAATATTTTATTTTTGCTTCGAGTCCGAAGCTCTGTACTAGGTTAGAAATACTTTCAATGCTAAATGCAGTGCAGTTCAACTTTAGATGAGCTTATGAAGCAACATGACAAGAGCCTCTAAATTTGTTTAGTATAGATACCGACATATCCCCGAAACGTCAGCATCCTTTATACTCCAATCACTTCTAAGATAGGTGTGCGGTGGGAGCCACACTCTCACGAGAGCAATGAGCCGCCTTCCGTTTCGACAACTGACCCCGCTTTCTGCGCGTGGGTATGGGCGGGAGCGTGATCACGTGGCGGAAAAACAATATGTGTGACTGGTCCAAAAAGCGCGTAGCTTCCACCGAACTGTGAGCTTAGTAGCGAAATGTGTATGGTTCCATGTCGGTACCTTCTTTGGCGTTACTTCAACACGTCGCCTTCAGATAAAATATGATTCCTCATTTTATCATCTAAAGAAAAAACTTTACGCACGCTCTAATCAACGGCGCTGAAAGCTCTATGAACAGTTACAAAGCTCGCAAACCTGTGACTTAAGCATTTCGATTCCACAAAAATAGTTGCCCAACTTAAGGACTCCGGACCACATACTAGGACGTCCCTAATCTCAGGGACCATAGTGTTTTAAAACGAACTTTGATCTGCTTATTAACAAAGCCTCGATGTCACATTTACTGTTCCTTCAACCCCTCTGCAGAAAGAAAGATTAGAAAGTGTCTTTAGCTTTCGCTTGAGCGTCACAATTTTCTCGAACTTAGTAACGAGATACATTGGCCCGCGATTGTATCGCGATGAAAGGAATACACCAAAAATTCATTCGGATTCTGAAATACAGAAACTGTCTGAAAAATTGTATCGTGATAAAGAAATATAAAAACTAAATGTATTTCTGAAATATTAAAGCGAGACATTTGTATCGCTATACTTCCCATCCTGCCCAGACCTGCAGTTGAGGGTGTTTTGTGCTTAATTAACGAACGTACCCCTGTCGGAGCCGAAAATTGACGATCTTGACATTATTTACGGACCCACTCGTGCTAGTATGAGCAACGAAGGCCGCCACAGGCGCCCTCGAATGGCGAGACTTCAAACGCTTCCGTGGCGGCAGTCGCGCGGTCAAGACGCCATTTTCGCAACATGGAGCACTCTTCCTGGGCTGCGTGTTTGGTTATATTAAATCGCCATCTCGTTAAAAAAAAAAAAACTATACTGAAAGTGAAACTAGAGTGTCTACACTAACTACAAGAGTCCGCAACTTGTCCAAAAACGTATCAGAACTATTGCAACGGGGCTCGCAATTCGTATATTACGAGCGATTGATTTTGACGGGCGCAGTACAGAAAGAGTTAGGGCATAAATATATTTTAGTTTTGTCAGAATACATGTAACATAATTTTATGTCCTCTGTTATTTTGACACTTCCGCTGAAACTCTTCGTGAACTTCAAAACAGAAGGAATTCCTCTTACAACCCTTCTGGATAATGTTGAGATAATGTATCCCTGCACAAAAAAAAAAAAAAAAAGTTGCGCGCAGAAATATTTTAAAAGGTGTATCTATTATGTTTTGCAATATATGAAATATTAATAAAAAATATGGTATACCGTTGAATACTCGTTTTCGCAACTAAGCCATTCCTCCGGCATTGTGATATGCGTGATGGTACTCATAACATAGTAGCAAAAAGTGCAATTTGCGGTAATACAACAGAAGGCCTGACAACTGTAAACTCCACGAGCTCAGCCTGAAAGCAAACTTTATATAGCATACGCTTCGCCGTCCTTTTCTCACTTTCCTGAAGCATCTCCGTATCAAGTGCTTCTCGCCACAACTATGGATAATGTCACGGGGCGGCACCAAGCCAACAGTTCAGAGAGCGGCTGTTGCGTTCAAGAGAGTGTCGCATTTTAGAGCGCGTCTCTTAGGCGCCCGTTTCCATGTTTCGCGGCGTCAGCGTCGCCATCGACATCGGCGTATCGAGCGAAATTTAGTGGAAAAATATACGTCACGTGACGTCAACACCAATTCAACTCGCCGCTAAATCTGGCAGAGAAACTGAATTTGTTCATAGGTGACGTAACATATCTGACGTGTTTTCCCCTCTAAATTTAGCGGAGAAACTGAATTCGTGTTCGTGAGATAAGGAGGTGGAGGAGGAAAGGAGGAGGCGAGGAGGCGAAGGTACAGAGGACGAGGAGGGGCATGCACTCCCATCCGTATCTTCCCCTCCTTCTCAAGAGCTGCGCTCTAATTTCGCGTCAGAGGGATTTGAAAAGGCCTTTCTTTTCTTTTTCCAATGCTACAACAGCATAGGTTGCGGAGGGGTTGGGATGGGAGGGGAAAGTTACCGACCTTGCTTGGTGGGTACGGACTCGTGTTTAGATGAATCGCACAAACGGTTTGTAACATAATCCCCAATAGCTAGAAATACCGAGTTCCTCCTATTTTTTTAGTAGTACCCCCAATACGTCACTGGCCACACGCTTGTGTCGCACACCGATGACATAGCTCATCATGTTTCTCCGACAACAATACGGACGTCGCGCCCCTTTTTCACCACTTGTGCACGTCACGCCTGGCTATAAGTCACTAAACTTTCTC